GAAAAATGCCTCAATATCATAAAAACCATATATGAATAGCCCACAGCAATATCATTCTCAATGGGGAAAACCTGAGAGCTTTTCTCCTAAGGTAAGAAACACAGCAGGGATGTCCACTGTCACCACTGCTATTCAACATAGTACTAGAAGTCCTCGCCTCAGCAATCAGACAACAAAAAGAAAAAAAGGGGGTGGGCATCTGAGAAGAAGTCAAACTCTCAGTCTTCACAGATGACATGATACTCTATGTGGAAAACCCAAGAGACTCCACCCCAAAATTGCTAGACCTCATACAGGATTTGAGCAAAGTGGCAGGATATAAAATCAATGCACAGAAATCAGTTGCATTTCTATACACTAACAATGAGACAAAAGAAAGAAAAATTCAGGAATTTAGTGCAATTATAATTGCACTAAACACATAAGATATCTAGGAATAAACCTAACCAAAGAGGCAAAGGATCTGTACTCTGAAAACTATAGAACATTCATGAAAGAAATTCAGGAAGACACAAAGAAATGGAAAAACTGTTCCATGCTCATGATTGGAAGAACAAATATTGTTAAAATGTCCGTGTTACCTAGAGCAATCAATACATTCAATGTAATCCCTGTCAAAATGCCATCAACATTTTTCACATAGCTGGAATAAATAATCCTAAAATTTGGTGTTTTTTTAATAAAGATTTTATGTATTTATCTGTCAGAGGGAGAGAGCACAAGCAGGGGGAGCAGCAGGCAGAGGGAGAAGCAGGCTCCCTGCTGAGCAAGGTACCCGATGTGGGACTTAATTTCAGGACCCTGGGATCATGACCTGAGCTGAAGGTTGATGCTTAACTTACTGAGCTCCCCAGCCCTCCTATAAATAATCCTAAAATTTGTATGGAACTAGAAAAGACCCCAAATAGCCAAAATAATGTTGGGGGGGGGGACCAAAGCTGGTGGCTTCATAATTCCAGACTTCATGCTGCATTACAAAGCTGTCATCAAGACAGCATGGTATTGGCACAAAAACAGACATAGATCCATGGAACAGAGCAGAGAGCCAAGAAACAGACCCTCAACTCCATGGCCAACTAATCTTCAACAAAGCAAGAAAGAATCCAGCGGAAAACATAGTCTTGTCAACAAATGGTGCTGGGAAAATTGGACAGCCACATGCAGAAGAATGAAACTGGACCATATCCTTACACCACAGACAAAAATAGACTCAAAATAGATGAAAGAACCAAATATGAGACAGGAATCCATCAAAATCCTAGAGGCGAGCACAGGCAGAAACCTCTGAGACCTCAGCCATAGCAACTTCTTGCTAGACACATCTCCAATGGCAAAGGAAACAAAGGCAAAAGTGAGCTATTGGGACTTCATCAAGATCAAAATCTTTTGCACAGCAAAGAAAACAGTCGACAAAACTGAAAGACAACTGAAAGGGAGAAGATATTTGCAAATGACATGTTAGATAAAGGGCTAATCTCCAAAATTTATAACTTACTAAACTCAACACCCAAAGAACAAATAATCCAATCCAGAAATGGGCAGAAGACATGAACAGATATTTCTGCAAAGAAGACATCAAGATGGCCAACAGACACATGAGAAAGTGCTCCACATCACACGGCATCAGGGAAATACAAATCAAAACCATAGTGAGATCCCACCTCACACCTGTCAGAATGGCTAAAATTAACCAGTCAGGAAACAACAGATGCTGGTGAGGATGCAGAGGAAGGGGAGCCTCCTGCACTGTTGGCGGGAATGCAAGCTGGTGCGGCCACTCTGGAAAACAGTATGGAGGTTCCTCAGAAAGTTGAAAATAGAATAGAGCTGCCTTACGACCTAGCGATCAGAATACCGGGTATTATGAATACTGTTACGCTGAAAAAATAAAAAATTTTAAAAATGAATAAATAAAAAATAAATAGTTAAAAAAAAATACCGGGTATTTACCCCAAACATACAAATGGAGTGATCTGAAGAGACATCTGCTCCCCAGTGTTCACAGCAGTGACACCCACAATAGCCAAACTGTGGGAAGAGCCCAGATGTCCATCGACAGATGAACAGATAGAGAAGACGGGGCTCGTCTACACAACGGAATGTGACTCACTCGGCCGTCAGAAAGGGAGACGTCCTGCCCTTTGCATCGACGTGGATGGGACTGGAGGGTATTGTGCTGAGCGACGTCAGTCAGTCCGAGAAAGACAATTATACGATCTCACTCGTATGTGGGATTTAAGAAACAAAACATGAACATAGGGGAAGGGAAGGAAAAATAAAACAAGAAGAAATCAGAAAAGGAGGCAAACCAAAGAAGACTTTTCATCATAGGAAACAAACTGAGGGTTGCTGGAGGGAAGGGGGGATGGCGTAACTGGGGGATGGGCATTAAAGAGGGCACAGGATGTGATAGGCACTGGGTGTCATAGAAGACTAATGAATCACTGACCTCTACCTCTGAAACTAGTAATACACTGTATGTTAATTAATTGAATTTAAATTGAAAAATAAAATAAAATCACTAACCAAAAATAAAAAGTGATTGGTTTTGAGGAAAAGGCCCCAGTCAGATCAACAGCTGATACCAAGTGTCAGGTGCTGTGTCGGGTCTTCTCCAAGAGAGACGCCCATCTGGCGGCTCCAAATGAAGTCACCAGTTGACCCATCCGTTCAGTCTCCATCCTCCACAATGCACTCGGTGTCCACACAGGCTACACTGGCAGGTTAAGTGGGTTTGTGGTATCACCACCCTTGTCTATACCGGCTCTTTGACGACGGCACTAATCTCTAAAATTCTCCCAGGGCTGCAGTACTGCTCAGTTCACTGTCATGATAAGAAGGGGCAGCTCTAGGGACGCCCCCGCCCCGTTCTTCTGTCTTACTGATCCTGCGCTCGTGCGTGAGGGAGCCTGGGAAGGCTCTGCCAGCCACTGAGTGTGTCTGTTCCGAGTACACATTCAGGAGCTAAAGAAATGAGGACCCAGAGAGTCCCTGCGCCAGCGGGCCCACGGGGAGCCGGTCGGGTGAAAACTCTGTCACCCGAACACCACATAGGAGTGGGGGGCCACGGTGCCGTTTTGTGGCCCCAGGAGTTAACGCCAACGCAGAGCCCATATCTAATTACCCCTGGAGAGATGCAAGAATTTCCTTCCAGATCCTCTTTTCCACTCTGTGCGCACATCAGCAAGCAGCTGCAGGTGCCTTGGGGACAGCCTGAAGGAAGTTTCCTGATGGTACTGGTGGCCGTCTAGGGCCTTGTCCTCCATCGCGAGACTCGAGTTTTGACCCAACGTAGATCTGGGAACTTGGGAGAGAGGCTGCGATCCCTCACTGTGGTGGTTCCAGTCAGATTTGGGTTCCCAGACCTGGAGTTTGTGCTACGGCTCGGGTGAAGGCCGGCTCGAGCAGGCTGCCATCCGCGGCCAAAGATCTCCGTGAACCCAGGCCTGCTGACGCCTGGAGCTCCCTCTGCTACTTTGAAATCCCATCCCCGCCCCCGAAAGTAAGGAGCCTGTTCCAAAAGCAGCCACGCGTGGGGCCACTCGTAGGCTACGTGGTCTACTGGAGAACGTGGTTCTCGCTGCGCCGGGGTGAGCCGCTCCTGGGGACCGGAGCTGCGGGCGGGGCGTGGATGTGACGGTCACGCAGGACTAGCCCAGGGGTCCAGGGTGACGAGAGGAGACCCTAACCAGGCACTCTGGAGAGGGAGCCGGCGTGAGCTATGAGTGCGAAGGCCACGGAGGCGCTTTGGGCCCCAGACCCCTCGCGGCTGGGGGCTGGGAACATCGAGGAAGCGCGGGGGCCCCAGGCTTGAAAGTCCCCCTCTTCCAGGTGACCGTTCCCCTCTCGGCCGCGGAGCCCAGCACCCTCTCCCCACTCTCTGCTCCCACAGAGCCTGGCACGGGGTGGGCGCACCAGTGCCCTCGGCTGTGGCGGGAGGCCGTGCTGCGGGCAACCCGAGGGCAGGCGCCGTGCTCAGCGACCGGCAGCCGGATGGCCAGATTCCACACTCCTCGTCCCCCTGCGGGAGCGGCTGTGGCATAGGCACTGCGGAGCGAGCACAGGGCCGGCCACCCCTAGCGCAGGGCGCACGGCCCCGGGGCCCAGTCGCTCCTTCCTTGGACGCGGGCAAGCCCTGCTGCCCGGGGCGCACACAGCACGGGGCCCTCCAGCAGCCCGTGGGCAGCTGAGGACGCAGGCCCAGCCCAGGCCACTCAGATTCCACGCAGGCAGGTGTGGGCACAGGCTGGGGGCCGGGCGGGGACAACTCAAGCCCCAAGGCTCACGGCCCAGCATTGTGTCCAGGACACACTTCTACGTGTCAAAGAGTCAAGAAGTTCCTGGTAAAGCAGATGGTGACAGGACAGCGGTGTCCACACGCGGCTCCTGTAGGATGCGACCGTGGCCTCTGCGAACCTGAATCAGGAGACGGGCCCAGTGCGGGGGGCGGGCCGGGGGGCGGGTGTGCGCCTCGCGGGGGTGGCCGTTCAGGGGGCGGTGAGGGAGGCCGGGCAGGGACGGGCTGGGGGCCGCACACGGGGCAGTGCCGAGGCCCCCCCGGAAAGCAGCCCGCGGCCCCCAGGCCCCTGCTCAGCCTGTACTTGGAAGCGCTGCGGTCTTGGCCGAGCATTTGCTTTGTTTGCATCAGGGACCGGGGCTCTGTCCTCTCCCCACCCCGGCCTCGCCTTCATAGCCCTATCGATCTTCATGTATAATTAAAGCAGCCCAGAAAGCTGACGCCCGGCTTCCTGCCCCCCAGGACTCTCTTCCTTGGCCGGAGTGCAGGCTTGGCTCCCGAGCCAGGCCCCGGGTGGCCGCGGGCTCAATGCGGCCCTGTGTGCAGGCCTGGCCGCCCGCCGCCCCCAGCTGCACCCCCCTCCCGGGCCTCCCCCTTGGCTGCGGGCCCCGCAGTGCAGCACCCGCCGGGCCGGGCGGGGAAGGGATAAGAGGCCGCCCCGCGGCCGCCTGGCCACTCGGGAGCACAGCCCGGAGGGACACGGAGCAGCCCGCAGCCACTGACGTGAGGACCCTCGGGGACAACCTGCTCTTTTCTTTGGGGGGCAGGAAGGAGGGCTGGGAACGAGGTGGCGACTCTCCAGGCCCCTGAGGCCAGCTGGTGCGGCTCCCGTTCCGCCTTGTGGACGAGACCCCGGCTGACCCAGCGGGACTTCAGACCCCAGTGGGCTGCAGTCCCCGCTCGGAGCCCACTGGGACGTGGCCTCGGGAGGGCTGACGAATGACGCCCCTTCCCCAAGTCTCGGGGGTTTCAGGCCCCCCCGGGTGACTGACGGCAGCCTGAGCTCGGCCAGCCCCACCCCAAAGACGAGCATTTTCTCTCCCGCAGCTCCTGTCCGGGCCCAGGGTTTGCCGCCAGGCCCGGGGCCTGGACCACACAGAAGTCACAGGACAGCTGGGAGGGCTTGGAGGGGAGGTGACAAACTGGGTCAGAGAAACTGGGGGTTTGGTGGGTTTAACTTTCTTCAGGGTTAAGACTTCTCAGGGAGGTAGGGCCCCTTCCCACGACCCAGGGATGCGTCCTTGGGCACTTAGAGCCCAGAAGCCTCTTGCTTTCCACGCAGAGAGATTAAGGTAGGACTAAGAGGCTGACTGGCCCAGGAGTAACGTTCAGAGAACTAAGCAGAAAGGAAATACAGATGTTTGATTCCGTTTCTCTTAAAAGATAAGCTTTAAAGCAGGGAAGAATTTAAAAGGAAAAACGTTTTAATTAATTTCAGTGTGGTTATGAAGTCACATTATATGGCGCTTTCGAACATGGAATATATGTTTTATGCTTTTCCTTTAAAAAAAAAATCCCACTAGTCATACTTTATGGAAAAATAAGTCAGCCTCTCCTTCCCCAAATGATCACAGACTTTGAGAAATATCAGAATAATGCAAATGTTTCTTGGGTTTTTTTGTTTTGTTTCCAAAAAACAAAATCAATAATTGAAAACCTGAGTGCAAAGGATAAGAACGAATGAAACGTTAAAGATTTTTTTTTAACGTTAAAGATTTTAATCCATCTGACTTGTTCCATCCATGTGTGATAAATCAGATTTTTAGGGATTTAAGAGCAAAGCAAAGGATACTGCTTATTAGTAAGGTGACTGTAGCAGAGGTCAGGTCAAGACAAAAATCCACAATGCTTTCTCCTCTGAGAAATCAGAAGTAAAAAAAAATCAGAAATAAATAAAGTGTTAAATATTTCCTCCAATATATTGTTTAGAAACAAGTGATGTATCCAACATGGGGGTGATTTTTCAACAATGAGATGTAGTTTTGTAACTACTTTCAGCTGAGACAGTGCGAGGACCCTTCACTGATGGGAACTCAAGGCCAGAGGTCGGTGGACGTCTCTGGCTGCCTCAGTTTTGTGGAACAACTGACAGGCGGTCCTTTGTAAAACGTTCTCAAGTCCCAGGATGAAACAGATATTTCCCGTTTTCAGGCCGCGGTCTGAGGTCCGGCGGAGGGGACAGCAGGAAGCTGAGTGACTCTGGGGCCCCGCCGGGTGCGCTGGAGGCTGCGGAGACCACAAGGGGCCTGGCGGGCTCAGCCTCCTGCTGCTTTGTCGGTCCTGCCTCCGGACCAGCCCGGCCCCACGGCCTGTGGTACCTTGTTGTCTCTGGTGGGCCGTCTTCGATCTGTCACTGAGATGCTGGTCTTCGTTTAAGAATATCTGTGGCATTTCTGCCGTATTTGTTTCTCGTCCGATTTCCAGCGGTTTCCGGTCGTGTTGCTCACACCCATCAAAAAAGAATCCCTTAAGGATTGTATTTAACATGAGTTGTTTACATATTATTTCAAAGGAAAGCAGGTTCCTGCATTTTACGAGCCTTAGAATCTTGAAGAAGGACCTGCACTTTTCTTGCTAAACTTATTCTGAATATGCATGTGCTGCTTTGTGAATTTACCAACAGGATTTTTCCCCTCTGTTCGCTAGTTGTTTACTGGTGGCTCACAGGAGCACCGTTGATTTCTGCAGGCTCCTTTTCTTCCTGGTCACCGTACTTTGTTCGAGTCCATTCTACTGTCTGGCGGTCAGCGCTTTGCTCCCCTGCTCTCTGTCCCTTCATCTTGGAGCCCGTTTAGGGCAGAGCGTGGCCTACAGGGGAGGAAGCAGGAATCGGCCCCCAGACCCGCTCACGGCACCGCCCCTGTCTTCCCGCTGAAGTCCCCCATGGGCCAAACCCGGGCGGAAGCCGGGGCACGTGGGAACTTCGGATGATGCGGCTGCAGGGACGAAGAAGGGAGGGGCGGGCGGGAGTGGATCTCGCTGCGGTGGGAGAACTGGGACAGCGGCTCCCTGCCAGAAGGGGGGATGAGCCGAGGCCGGTCTGGCCCCCTCCTCTGGGCAGAATTCTGTAGAGCTAACGCGTTAACTGTTCTGTGTACAAACAAGGCAGAAAGCACCAGAGGCATCTTTCCTTTGTGGACCCCAGGATGTCTGAGCTGGAGAAGGCCATGGTGGCCCTCATCGATGTCTTCCATCAGTACTCCGGAAGGGAGGGTGACAAGCACAAGCTGAAGAAATCCGAACTCAAGGAGCTCATCAACGGTGAGCTCCCCCACTTTTTAGAGGTGAGTCTCGCTTTTTAAAATCCAGTTTATCCGTTCTCCGTCCACTCATAAAACCACTGTGCGTTTTCTCTTCTGGGCTGCCTAAAGGTGATTCTGGTGTTGTCCACACGTGTTCGTGCAACTGAACACCCATTTTATTTTTTTTAAGATTTTATTCATTTATTTGACAGACAGAGATCACAAGTAGGCAGAGAGAGAGGGGGGAAACAGGATCCTGCCAAGCAGAGAGCCCGATGCGGGACTCAATCCCAGAACCCTGAGACCATGGCCTGAGCCAAAGGCTCAGGCTTAACCCACTGAACAACCCAGGCCCCCCAGTGAACCCCCATTTTAGAGGCGAGCTCAGATGCCCCCGTTCTCATTTTCACGTTTTGTGTATAGTGGGAGCAGCCAGGAGAAACTGCTGTCTCAAAGGCCAAAGCACAGGGTGCAGATAATGCTGACTCTCCTGACAAATGGGAGGGTCTACAGCAGTGATGAGAGTGGGGTGGGATGGAAGTTCCTCATGACGTACTCGGGCCACAGTGCACACAGGAGAAAGGTTAGAAGGGCGCTCTGGTCTGGGAGGGCTGTGCGCGCGTTAGCTCACGGTCCGTGCCCCCGGGAGCCTCCAGACGCCATTCACTCAGCGAGCGGTCTCTGAGGGGTCCTGTGTTCACCGCGGGGAGACGCGGGCCCGAGGACACGGCCCCCGCTTCTGGGACACCCGGCCTGGTGCGTGGACGGCCGCAGCCGCCCCCGTCTCCACTGCCCTCAGATCAGCCTTTGTCGGCACCGCGCCCCGTCCGGTGCCCTTGAGGCCACGGACTGCAGTCCAGCTGGTCGCTGACCTTCCCTTAGTGCCCAGAACCCAGGCCACACATAGGAAACGGCCAGACAACAAACCAGGGCGCCAGGGTCTGGCCAAGCACTAATACCGGGAACGGTGCCAGGACACCCAGTGTGGCCCCACGGCCGGGGCAGTGGAGCCGCCCTCCTGAGCCCGCCGTCTGCAGGGCCGCCTGGGGTGCTCCTGTCTGCACCCTGACCAAAACACGCCATCGCTGCGAACCCCAGGACGCACCAGCAGGCTGGGGGGGTGGGCATCTCTGGGGCTGACTCTGGGGTTTTCTCAGGCATTCGGGTTCACGAGCCGCTGTCCGCCTGTGCGCTCGGTTCCCCGCCCATCCCACCTTCTAACCTGACGCCCCGAACTCCCAGTTGCTTCTGTAGACGAGGGTGGTTCTAGGGTGAAAGGAGACAGTGTTTGTCAAGCACTGAACCTATAGTGACAGCTCAACAAGCAATTATCAGTAATTAGTGATGACAAATTTATTACAAAATAATATAAATTATATAAAATAATCACTCATCGCAAATTGTTGATTTTAAAACAGAGAAAGCTTAGCATTTATAAATTGTGGGAGGCACAATTTATAAAAGACAAATGATTCATGTAAGTGGATCAAGGGATCAACATTAGCTGACCTGTTTTATTGGGGTAATTTCGGTTTGGGGGTGTCTATGATGTAACAGAAACAGCATCCCTCCCGTCCATCTTAGCAGATGTCTCCAGGTCCCACCCAGGCCCCGCTGGAATCTGTCCCGCACATATGCTCTCTTCGAGGCAGCTTGTGGACGTGCCCCCGACTGCTTCGGGCCAAGCTCTCTGGCCCGGCAGCTGACGATTCCCAGCAGCCTGCACGTAGGCTGTCCATGCAAGTTTGGTGCCACATTCTTCCCACCGCGCCTAAAGCCCTGCCCTGTGTCTGCCCCCCGGGACCTGGAACCCCGTTCGCTCAGCAGCAGTGACAGTCAGCAGAGCCGGCAGGAAAGTTCCCTGACACCCAGAAAGCAACTCGAGGGGCAGAAAGAACACAGGACTTCACAAATTTAGGGTCTGTTCCCAAGAGTCACTCCGGGAAAAAACCGCACTTTTGTAGGTTTTTTGGGGTTTTTTTTCTGACAGAGATCACAAGTAGGCAGAGAGGCAGGCAGAGAGAGAGGGGAGAAGCAGGCTTCCCATTGAGCAGGGAGCCTGATATGGGACTCGATCCCAAGACCATGAGATCATGACCTGAGCTGAAGGCAGATGCTTAACCCACTGAGCCACCCAGGTGCCCCCCAAAACCCACTTTTGAAACATGAAAACCCACTGAAAACTTTCATTCTAAGGACTTCCACTCCCAGAAGCAGTGAAACACTTAGGGGAACCAAAAGTTCATGTTTTCTTTCAAGATGTTTGCTCACAATGCGTTGCGGCGTCTGGACTGCATCCCCTCTCCGGGTGTTTCTGGTTTTAGGCACAGTGAGAGCGAGAGGCAGGTGTTCACACTCTGTTGTTCCATTTCGTCTTTGTCGAGCAGCCTGGGTCCCCCTGGACCTATGGGTGGAACCGATGCTCGGACCCCCAGAGATTCTGCCCAGCCAAGAGTCTCCCCATCACACAAAAGACCTTTCTGGTATTTCAGGGCATTTTCTATCTTAACTTACTTGCGGCACAAATTACGAAAGCCAGCCAACGATTAATCATGAGTCGTGTCTCGATGGCCCTAAACTTCAACTAAAAACAAGCTGGGCAGCTTCTCTTCTATGTTGTAGGAAGTCAAGGAGCAGGAGGTCGTGGACAAAGTCATGGAAACTCTGGACAGTGATGGAGACGGCGAATGTGACTTCCAGGAATTTATGGCCTTCGTTGCCATGGTTACCACCGCCTGCCACGAGTTCTTTGAGCACGAGTGAGCCGGCAGAGCAGTTGCTGTGACAGGGACGAGGGTCACGCAGGAAGCAGAGAGCGGGGCTCGCAGCTAGTAGGAACGGAGCTTTCCCGCTGCGCTGTAGCTAATTAGGAAGCTTGACTTGCTTTGTCAACGAGCAGTTGACAACCTCTTCCCAGGGCTGACTCTGGCCCCATCGTTCTTTCTGCTCTGCTCGGCACATGCGTCCGCTGATGGGGGCGTGGGACCCGGGCCATCATCGTTCTGGGGAGCGCGTGCTCGGCCACTGTCATGGCTGTGGAGAGCCCCAACCCAGGACTGCCACGCTGACCCCAGGAATGCTCTGGGCATGTGTGCTTCCTGGAGTCAGAAAGACAAAGCTTTGCCCTTAAATTGGTTTACCCTCCGTGCAAATGAACCCTCAGGGCGTGAGGGGGTCTGACGTGCCACCTGCTCCCCAGACAGTGCGGCCACAGGCTGGTCCCCTTCCCCACGGGGGAGCTGTGGGTCCTGAGCACACACCGCTCACAGAGCTGCAGGAAGCCTGTGTCTCACGAACCGTTAAGTACTGACACTTTGGTTCTAGCCGGGACTGAGGATCAGAATTCCACTCTCTGCGGGACTCCCTGCGCGGCTCCCACCTGCTGCCCCGCGGGCTGTGTGGCGGGGACGACGCGCCTCTCTGCAGACAGGCCCCCTTCCCGCGGCCTCCTCTCCGGTCTGGGAAGGGCCCTGGCCCTCCCGCGTGTGTGCTGAGGCTGGGCCTGCCCACGGCGGTTGGCAACGTCGGTGGACGCGGAAAGCTGAGCTGTGTGCTTGGGTATCCACGAATTCAAATAAATCAGTTTCAAGTAATTCACATCATCAACTTATAAATACTAACAGTCACTTCCCAGAAAAGTCCCATGAACCTTATCTACCCCCTTCTGCTGCTGCTTCTTTTAAGTGCACAGACTTGGAAATTCGTAAGCGGGTGGTTGCTTGTGTTCGCATTAAATAAAAAGAATGCCGTGACAGGCCGTGACAGTTCTCGTAGCCTTGAGACAGAAAACAGAAATGAAATGCCCGCCAGCCTGGAAGGAGGAGCAGAGAGACAGCCTGGCCTCCTCATGCTGCTCCTGCGCCTTCCCTGAAGCCGGGGCAGGTGCACAGGGCAGGGGACACTGGGATGGGGGCGTGGTGAGCAGGGCTGGGGTGTGAAGGGACAAGCATAGATGGGGCAGGGTTCGGGAGCGGTAAGGAGGGGCCCAGAGCAGGGGGGGCGAGAGAAGGGGGCGGGGAAGGGGGTGGGAGGAGCTGGGAGTGAGGAGGGGGAAGGGGTGAGGAAGAGGGGTGGGGAGGTATGGGAAGGGGGTGGGGTGAGAAAAGGTGGTGGGAGGAGGGGTCAGGATGAGAAAGGGGGTGGAAAGAGCTGGGGTGAGGAAGGGGGTGAGGCAGGGGCGGTGGGGGGTGAGGAAGGCAGCTGAGGGCTGGGCTGCACCAGGTGGGACAGCCACTGGCCACGGGCTCCTGCCACAGACTTCCAGCCGGCTTGGCCCCAGGAGGCCTCCCGGGGCCTGATCAGCCTGACCCCTGGGGAGGGGGCGTGTCACGTGGCCCCAGGGACCGGGTGGCTGGGGAGAGTCCGAGACGCATGCAGCTGTGTGGGCGTGTGGAGCTGGGGACTGAGACCGGCACCCAGGGACCCTCTCCAGGGACCACCCCCCCACCACCGGCGTGCCCACAGCCCACGGCCCACGGCCCACTGCAGCCTCCGGGAGGCTCCTTCAGGCTCTGGCAGGTTTGCTCCCCGCACGCCCAGTGGCACCTGCGTGTCCCACCGTCCTGGCCTCAGAGAGCCTTGAAAGATGTCGACCTTGAAAATAAAACAGCCGGTAAAGTACAGCCGCCAAATGGGTTCGTCTGGGAAGGGCCGAGGAAGAGCCATCAGGGACGCAGGAGGTGTGACAAGACCACAGGCGGGTCCGGAGGCTGCCGCAGAGGGAGGGGCGGCTGTGGCGGGGTTGGGGCTGCGGTCCACTGGAGGAGGGACTGCAGCCGCCCTGGTCCTCTGGCGTGGGGTGGGGAGGGGGCGGGGAAGGGGTGGAGAGGAGTTGAGGGGGAGCACGGGAGGGTGACCCGGTGTGGGAGGGTGACCCAGTGTGGGAGGCGGGCCGGCTGGGGCCTCCATCCTCTAAGGGAGTGACAGGGAGGAGTAGGGAAGCCTGCTCTGGGCTGCGTCCCGCTCTCCGTTGGGCAGCAGAGGACAGCGCCCCCCGCACGGCCAGCGGCGGACCGAGTCCCGGCCTGCAGCTCCCTTGCCGGCTGCCATCCAAGCAGCGCAAGGGGACTCAGCTCCGGGCTGTCCCCCTGGCTTCCGGACCAGACAGGAACCAGCTGCGGTGGACTGGCCCCCGGAAGGCTGCCAGGGCAGCCGCGGAGTGTGCCCCCGGATCCCGCACCCAGGGGTGCTCTTTTACCCCAAAGAGGGAAGCAGGGCCGCCTGCAGAGATCCTGGGGGCTTCCTGCTTGTAAGGGGCCCATCGTCCTCCTCTGACCTCTGCTCGGTGGGACCCGTCTGGCCCCACAGGCCGGGTCTGGTGCTGTGAACGGCCACTTAGGGTCCCCACACAGACGGCAGCAGGTCTGACGACCCGGGAGCTGCCCCAGGCATCCCCAGCTGGGCGGGGACAAGGCGAGCCCTGCGGGGAGGGGGATCAGCTCCTGACTTCAGCCGGGGGCAAAAGCCACTCGGGCCTCAAGGAAGGGCGCTCCGCGTCTCAACCGACCTCTGTCCTCTCGGGGTTGCTTTTCACAAGGCGCGGTGCAGCCACACGCGATTTCCTGTGCCCCCGGTTCCCCGGCTCGACCCACAGTGCCCAGAGAGTCTGTCTCTGACTGGGCGGAGGCCCTGGGGCCAAGCCTGGGACCCTATTTGTGACGAGGACTGCGAGCTTCTGGGGCTGCGGGGGGGCCCGTCCTCCACCCTTGGGACCGTCCCGGCCGCACCAGGGCCCCTGCCCGCAGTCCTGGTGAGACAATAGCCGGGCTTCCCTGCTACAGAGAGGAGGGGTCCCCACGTCATGTCCTGGGGTGGTGTGGGGCGCACCCCTTCCCAGCCCGCGCAGGCGCAGGAGCTGTGGGAAGGCCACGGAACCCCTGAGCGCTGGCCCTGCCCAGGGAGCAGGGTGTGGTGGGTGTGGGCAGAGCCGGGGCTGAGGCTGAGGTGCGGACCTCCCCGAGAGCACAGCCCTACGCCCCCCCGGGTGTTTCCGAAGACCCCCCCCCCACCTCCAGGGCCCCTCGTAACAGGGAGGCCCCTGGAGTAGCTCTCCCGGGGTGGGGGGGGGGAGACCGCCTGGGAGGGGCGGGGGTGGGCACCAGGGAGAGAGCACTGGGCGGCGCAGGCTCCGGGCTCCCAGCACAACCCGCCCCCCCTCCCCCCAGGAGCTTGTGGGTCAGGGCCGGGGCCGGGGGTGGTTGGGAGGCTGCTTGAGCAAGAACTTAGGTGAATTCTGTCTTCAGAAAGTTAGGAAAGACCAGATTAGCAAAACAGCGCTATCAGGGGCGCCTGGGTGGCTCAGCGGGTTAAGCCTCTGCCTTCGGCTCAGGTCCTGATCCCAGGGTCCCGGATGGAGCGCATGGGGCTCTCTGCTCAGCGGGGAGCCTGCTTCCCCCTCCCCCTCTGCCTACCTCTCTGCCTGCTTGTGATCTGTCAAATAAATAAGTAAAATCTTAAAAAAAAAAACCCAAAAACAAAAAACAGCACTATCAGCCTTCGAGGTCCTTCTAGAACTGTGCTGTCTTCCCGGTAGGGTGGGCCTCCCGAGAGCAGGGGAGGGCGGGGGAGAACTCAGCATCCCCAGCGCTCGAGGGCCGAGCAGGGAGCTCAGGCAGCCAGGCCCCCCAGACTGCAGCTGCCTCCTTTAGGAAAGGCTGTTGGCTGGTGTGTGGGTCTAACCCGAAGGGGTCCCCACCTCCTCTCCTGGTGGCCGCACTTTGTGTGACACCCTGATGAACAGTCCTGATTCCGGCGGAGGCAGCCCCTCCTTCACCATTAAGCATGATGTTAGCTGGGGGCTGTCGGTGCCCTTTCTCCTGGGAAGCGACTTCTACTCCAGGAGTGCCGGGTGCCTCGGGCGATCTTCTGCGTTTGCTGAGAATGATCACGCGGCTTGGGTTTTCACTCTATTGGTACATTATGTTACCTTGACTGATTCTCGGATGTCAGGACAGCTTTGCATTCCTGGGGTACATTCCACGTGGTTAGGGTACATGATTCTTTTGTAGCTTTCTGTATGTTGATGGATTTTATTTGCTTTTTTTCCCCAACTCCCTCCACCCTTTTTTTTTTTTTTTTTTTTTTTTGAGGATTTTTCTGTCCATGTTTGTAAGAGACCTTGGCCTTTCGTTTTCTGGTCTTTGTAATGTCTCGGTTTTGGTATCAGGTAATACTGGCCTCTTCTATTTCCAGGAAGGTTTTGTGAAGAACTGGTATTAAACTGTCTTCAGATGTTTGGTGGATTTCGGCGCTGAAGCCATCTGGGTGGGCGGTTTTTCAATTATTCGTTATCTTTACTTGCTGGGTCTGTTCAGATTGTCCCCTTCTTAAGTCAGGGTCTGTCATTTGTGTCTTTCTAGGAACCTGTCCACTCATCTAGTTTACTGCCATACCATTATTCATAGTATTCCTCTGGAATATTGCTTATTTCTAGAAGGTCGGTAGTACTCTCTTTTGTTCTGATTCTAGCAACTTGAGTCTTATTTTTTTCTCGGTCAACCTAAGTTTTGTCAGTTTTGAAAGAACCAGTTGTTTCTTGGATTTTGTTACTTGTTTATTATTATTATTATTATTATTATATTAAAAGATGTATTTATTTTTTAAAGACTTGATTTATTTGAGAGAGAGGGAGAGCACGCTCGAGAGAGAAGCAGGCTCCCTACCAAGCAGGGATCCCACCGTGGGACTCGATCCCAGGACCCTGGGATCATCACCTGAGCCAAAGGCAGACGCTCAGCAATGGAGCCACCCCGGCACCCCACCTGTTGCTTGTTTGTTAACTTCTACTTTTATTATTTCCTTTCTTCTTCCTGCTTTAGGCCTAGTTTGCTCTCCTTTTTGCTGTGTCTTTAGGTAGAAAGGTTATTGACTTGAGACCTTCTTTCTTAATGAATGTAGGCATCAATGACTATAAATGTGCTTCTGAGCACTGCTTTAGCTACATCCCATAC